TTTTCAATGATTTTCTAATCCATTAGTACGGTAATTTATCTAATCCATTTCTACTTATAAATACCAAGAAAAAGAAGACTCATTTTCATGTTCCAAGGCTACCGCAGTTGAGGGCAAAGCTACAAGCCGTAAGTCTCTCCTCTCATTTCTGTTTGATACGCGAGTTTTCCTGCTCTGATCACTTTGAAGTTTTAAACTTTTATCATTTTCGATGATGGGTGTCCGTCGAATATCCATTTTTATTTTCTCCATTTTCTTAAGGTGGTGTCCCTTGAGTGTCCCAAGTTTTAATGTTTTGTAATGGGTTTTTTGGATTAGTTTGATGATGATGATGATCATGTTTATGTTTCTGATGTTGTGCTGTTATTTGTTTGCAGGGTTTTGGAAAACAAAAAATGAGCGAGAGGGTTTTGTTTCTACTTCTTTGTTTGAATGTGGTCTCTTATCTAGTGGTAAAAAATGCCTTGCTTTCATTTGTATTAATGTTTATATCAATTTGTTATCTGAGTATTTTAGATACTTGCGTTTTGTTCTTTTGTATTTGATTGGGATTTTTTCTGCTTGTAGATTGCTGAAACACAAACATGTCCTGCTGATCTTGGTGGTAAATGTGCTGATGATTCAGGTGATTGGGAAGGGGAATTTTTCCCTGGCATTCCAGAGGTTAAGTATGAGGTATAGTGTGTTTATGTCCTAATCCTATGATCATTTATGTAAATGTATGGTATATCTACCATTGAAAGTATCATGTTTTGTAGCTAATTGTGCATGGTTGAGATTGGATTACAGGGCCCTTCTAGCAAGAATCCTCTAGCATACAAATGGTATAATGCAGAGGAGGTGATTCTTGGGAAGAAAATGAAGGTTGATTTCTGTTCTTTCTCTAATTTGAATGTTGTGAGTTGTTGGTGATAATTGACTATAACTGACTGTATGTATCAATGGCGCAGGATTGGTTGAGATTCAGTGTTGCTTTTTGGCACACATTCCGTGGGACAGGTGTTGATCCATTTGGTGCACCAACCAAGTTTTGGCCATGGGAAGATGGTACCAATTCCTTGGCTATGGCCAAAAGAAGAAGTAAGATACATATGTTTTCCACAAATTTCTTTGATTACTGGTAATTTTATGCTGGATGCAAATTCCCCTTTTGATGCAAATTACAGTGAGAGCCAATTTTGAGTTCATAAACAAGCTTGGAGTTGATAGGTGGTGTTTCCACGACAGGGATGTAGCTCCTGATGGCAATACCCTGGAGGTAGTAGATTTTATCATCTGTTTGTGCGGAGAAGCACAGACATTGAATTTTCTTTTTATTTTAAAATTTGAATGCTGGGGAGTTTCCCCTCCTCTGTTCGCCTCTATTTTGGGGGAAATTGACTGGGGTATTTGTTTTGTTGTAGGAAACCAATGCAAATTTGGATGAAGTGGTTGCCCTTGCCAAAGAGCTTCAGGTAATTTTCTGTACATTATTTCACTAATGAGTGTAAGTAGTTACCATCTTATATTCTTTTTGAAAGAAAGTGATGTCCTAACTTTTACTGAGATACCTCTATGTGTTCCAAAAAAAAGAAAAAAAGAACCAAACACTCACACAACTTGAGTTTTTAATTAGTTTGTAGCAATGTTATTGTGTGCTTGCATTGGGAAGGCAAAGAAGATGTATTTGTTATACTTTTTCCTCTGGGATTGAATGAGGTGCCTCAAAATTGCATACTTGTTGTTCTGAAAGCCTCCTTTTGTTAATTTCTTATACCAATTCTCTTGGAAAAAAAGGTATAGTTCTCTGTTTCACATTACCAAGAAAAATTGGGCCCCCTATAATTATCTTTTTGACTTGTTGAACACTAAACACATTGGTGCTAGACCACACTCTAAACTAATCATTTACTTGATACTGCCCTTTTGAAATCCTCGTGCATTTATTTCTGTAGGGAAGCAAAATCCGTCCTTTATGGGGTACAGCCCAATTGTTTGTGCATCCTCGTTACATGCATGGTGGTGCTACCAGGTAGGCTTTGACTATGAACCATGTCTACCCTCCATATAATATCATCAGTTGATCTCTTTATGAGTTAACCTTTCAATTTTCTTTGCGCAGCTCTGAATTAGGAGTTTATGCATATGCTGCTGCTCAGGTCAAGAAAGCCATTGAGGTGAGTGCTTAGTTATAAATATAATTTCAAGGACATTGTTTTCTAGCTTTGCGCAAATAGCTTGCAGTTATGTTGGTATCCATATTTGCTTATTGTTATGTGCTTTGGTTCATTCATTCCACAGGTAACACATTATTTGGGTGGAGAAAATTATGTCTTCTGGGGTGGCCGGGAAGGTTATCAGACTCTTCTGAATACTGATATGGAAAGAGAGCTTGATCATTTGGTGAGATTATCCCATATGTTCTGTAGTTTGAAATTCTGATATATTGCTTCATATGTCATATTGTTATGATTTATCTTCTGCTCATTGTATGTTTGGTCAAGGGTTTTACCATTCTTTATGCAGTTTCATTTCTTGTCAACAATTTTATTTAGAATTTTTCCCTTAAAATCTCCGGGTCTATGAACTAAAGGCATTGTTAATTATTTTGACAGGCAAGATTTCTTGAAGCTGCTGTTGCCTACAAGAAGAAGATTGGATTCAATGGTAAACTTGCAATGCAGTATGGTCCTTTTTAGATGCATACCTCATCCCTTCCCATCTGACACAGGAAACAGAAATTCTGATCAAAAGAAATAGAGACATGTTTGCCATGCTTTATTCCTTTTTTCTTATTAATGCTTTTCTGAAATTCTGATTTAAACTTTTTTCAACCTTTTTCTCCTCAGGAACATTTCTGATTGAACCCAAGCCTCAAGAACCAACCAAGCACCAGTATGTTTCTCAACTTATTTTGGTGGTTATAGTAGAAGTCTGCATAGCATTTATATGACTTGTACTTAATTTTTAGGTATGACTGGGATGTTGCCACAACAACTAACTTCTTGAGAAAATATGGCCTCATTGGTGAGTTTTCCTAAATTTTTTTCTAATAAACAATGTTGCCATCAACACATTTGCCCTCACTTCAACTGCTAACAAGATGTTAAATCTGTTCTCTCTTCTTTCTTTTCTTTTCCTCTTTTTTTTTTTTATTTTTTTATTTTTTTTTGAACATTTTTCTAAAGTTTCATTGTCTGTGTTTACACTCCTAAATCACTCATTATAAAAAATTCTTTCCTTGGGATACTTTCAAGTATGTGATTAATGTTCCCTGTTCTTCAAAGACAAGTTTCCCTTTTAAAGGCAAGGTGGAATTCATGCCTTTAATGAACAGAGCAAACAATAACCTGCCGAAAATGTATCTGGATGTAAATGATTATTAGAGGTAATTTAACAAGTAAAAATGAAGGCGGCATGTGTCAGTACCACGATGAATTGTTGATATCTGGATATGACAGATAGTGTTGCACCCCAGAATAATGCTGCATGCTATGGAATTTAGTTGAATATAGTCATGTGGTGATATCATTAATATTCAGAGTTCAGGACATTATGATGAATATTCTGGTTTAACGTGGATCTAGTTGTGTGTGTTTTTTTTTTTTTTTGTTGGGGGGGTTATATAGAATCTTAACTAAATAGAACAACTATCCTCTGTTATAATAATTGTCTTAGCATATGTTACAAAACAAACTTTTCAGACCTTTAAAATATGGGTTGCATATGTATTAGCTAAGAAACTTCAATCATTTTTTCAATTATTTACAATTCTACAATGTAATAGCTTGACCACACTATTGCCAATTTCCTTCCACAGATGAATTTAAGCTGAATGTTGAATGCAACCATGCTACCCTTTCTGGTCACAGGTTTGTAACATTCTGCACCGAGCAATGGGAGCCTAGCTTAGTTGTTCTGTATAGAATCTCCAATATCAACTTGTCTAAACTGCACTGCTTGTATAATTTGCAGCTGCCATCATGAGCTTGAAACTGCACGAATCAATGGTTTGCTAGGGAATATCGATGCGAACACTGGCGATCCTCAGATTGGTATTTTATTGTTACAGTTTTCTGTTTTCCTCTTGTTTTATTTTTCTTGGGAAACTCATCATTGAAGGCATCAAAGTTTTGATCGTAAGATGTTTTCTATGCACTACAGGTTGGGACACAGATCAGTTCTTGACAGATATTTCTGAGGCAACTTTGGTTATGCTAAGTGTGATAAGAAATGTATGGAAAAGATTCTCTTTAATTCCTTTCAAAGATTTGAAGAGTGTTTTAACTTCAGATGAGTTTACATTGGATGATTTTCACTTCTTTTTTTTTTTTCCTTTTTTCCTTTTTTCTTAAATGACAGGGAGGGTTAGCTCCAGGAGGATTCAACTTCGATGCAAAATTGTAAGCACCTAATTTTTTTACTTTGATTATATGTAGTTACTAATAATACTGTTTGAAGTTGTCATATTAAATCTGTTGATGTTACAGACGAAGAGAGAGCACTGAGGTTGAGGACTTATTCATTGGTCATATTGTTGGGATGGATACCTTGGCTCGTGGCCTTCGAAATGCTGCCAAGCTGATTGAGGTAGTATATATTGTCATTATTTTCTCCCAGTTTTCAAGGGCAAACCTCCTTATTTCATCTCCTCCATTTTGATAATGTTGACATTACTATATTTATATTGAAAATAATAGGATGGTACCTTGTCCGAGCTTGTTCGTAAGAGATACTCCAGTTTTGACTCACAGTTAGGGGCACAAATTGAGGTGGTTTTTTTTTTTTCTCAAATTCTATTTTTCTTATGCTTTAATTTGGTACTGTGGCTAATGCAAGTGCTGAATCATCCAACAGGCCGGTAAAGCCGATTTTGATCTGCTTGAGAAGAAAGCCATGGAGTGGGGAGAACCCAAGGTTCCTTCTGCTAAGCAGGTAATTTAATGCATTCTATTTTTATAATTCTTGGGAGTGTTGCTGCCCTGCTCATCCCTTTTTGGTCATAAATATCTGAAACAACGCTGCAAGTACATACTTTGCTGATTTCTTGCCACATTACCAGTTTATTCTGGAGAAAAAAAAGTATCCTCTTTATTTGGATAACAACCCTTTTCCCTAGACCCCCATATGATGATTTTGTTGATTTCTATACCGTTCCAATTTGAATAATTGGCAATCTGATTAAGTTTACATGCACTGTTGCAGGAACTTGCTGAGATGATTTTCCAATCTGCATTGTAAAGAGACGAAGCTTAGCACTAGTGTTTTTAGCTGCGTAAGGCATTAAGGGTTTTGTTCTTAAAAAGCTTTCGACTAGGAGCAATGCAGAGTATTCTACAAGTAGATGCCTAGAAGTTATATTGTTTAAAATAACTTTTGTTGCACTCTTTTGTCACAATATTGAAGCATAAAATAAAACTTTTGTCATAATTTCATCCAGTCTATATTATCGATTATCATGTGACAACATTTTTCATATATTGTGAAACGCTTGCATCATTACGAAACCCAACAATTTGGACTTCCAAGAGCTAAATGCTTTCCACCTATATGCCTCTCTTCTACGCTTTCAAACCTATAAAAAAATAGGGATGACATAAATTGAGGTTTACTCATAAGGCTATAGTTTTTAAGTGACGTTGTAAATTATAATCGTAATATATTATTATATAAAATTTGTTCCTTTAATTCAGGTTTTACTTGTACTATTATATATGTATTTTCTTATTTAGTAATATATATTATAAGTTTTTAATTTTATATAATATTTTAATTATATTAATATTGTAAAGATATTCAACCATTCATAAATCGTGAGAGTTATAAAATGCATTGTAAGTGAAAATAACAATTGTGTTAGGTTGCAAAATAATATTATCTACTAACTACAATATTTACAAAAATGAATCGAACATATATATAAAAAATATATATATATATATTACAGAAGGTACTGATAAGTGTTCTTGTAGCTTAATTTATAATAGTAGCATTATTCTGTCTTTCTTTTTCTCTCTCTTTTTTTTTTTTTTTTTTTGGGGGTGGGGTGGGCCGAACTAGTAGCATTAATTATTCTCGAATCAAACCAAAACGTTATCTTTCGCCTAGTGGTGTAGGAAAAAATGAGAATTTCTTGCTGACACAAAAAGGGTTCCCCAACAATAATATTGTTAGTAGAGAGTCAGTAGCGTACGGAACTAGAAATTTAAGTTAGTGGTGGAGAAATTTTAAAATTTTTTTGTGTAATAAATTGAGTTAGCGAAGTACGGAAACTAGAAATTTAAGTTAGTGGTGGAGAAATTTTAAAATTTTTTTTTTTTTGTGTAATAAATTGAGTTAGCGACGTACGGGAACTAGAAATTTAAGATAGTGGTGGAGAAATTTTAAATTTTTTTGTGTAATAAATTGAGTTAGCGAAGTACGGAAACTAGAAATTTAAGATAGTGGTGGAGAAGCATTCCCCGTGACTGCGGTTGCCCGTCACGAGATTTCTTCAAAATGAGAAATAAGTGAAATGTATCTGAAATTTCTTTCAAATGAGAAATAGGTGAAATGTATCTTAGATTTGTAGGTTGAGTATCATATATAATTTTTTTTTAAATAGATATTAATTTAATATTATATTTTTTTTGGTTAAAAAAATAGTAGTGGAGAAATTTTAATATTTTTTGTGAATTATTTATTAGTTTATATTAATATAATTTATATTAATTTTTATATGAATCAATATATTTATGTATGTATTATTTAATTATGTATATCAAATTTTAAATTAATTAAATATATTTAATTAATTTTTAATAATATACATAATTTAAAATCCTTAAATAAATAATATAAAAGTGTAAGTATTTTTTTTTAGTAGAAATTTATTTATATATAATTTTTACATATTATAATCATATAAAATTTTAATTA